GCCCAGCTATTTTTTCTTTTTTTAAAAAAAAAGAAGAAAAAAAATTTTTCCAAATACATTTATTTTATAAAATACATGTATCCAGAATAATACAAAGAACTCCTACAACTCAGTAACAAAAAGACAATTCAATAAAAAAAAAAATGGGCTGAAGACCTGATAGACAAAACAGACACTACCACATTTTAATTTTTCTTTTTTGGAGAGACAGGGTCTGGCTATGTTGACCAGCCTGGTCTTGAACTCCTGGCCTCAGCTCATTCTCAGCACTTGGGGGCCTCCCAAAGTGCTGAGATTACAGGCGTGAAGCACCTCACCTGGCTCCAAATTTTGGTCAGAATGTAGAGCGACTAGAATTATCAAGTGCTTAGGGGGAGTGCTAAATGGTAAATAAGAAAAATTAAGTCTTCTTTTTTTTTTTTTTGAGACGGAGTCTCGCTGTCACCCAGGCTGGAGTGCAGTGGTGCGGTCTCGGCTCACTGCAAACACCACCTTCCAGGTTCAAGCAATTCTCTCGCCTCAGCCTCCCAAGTAGCTGGGATTATAGGCGCCTGCCACCATGCCCGGCTGATTTTTGTATTTTTAGTAGAGACGGGGTTTCACCACGTTGGCCAGGCTGGTCTCAAACTCCTGACTTCAGGTGATCGACCTGCTTGCCTCCCAAAGAGCTGGGATTACAGGCGTGAGCCACCGCGCCCGGCCGAAAAATTAGTCTTTTAACTTCATCCAGAAGTAAACTTTTTCTTTTTTTTTTTTTGAGACAGAGTCTTGCTCTGTCACCCAGGCTGGAATGCAGTGGCATGATCTCGGCTCTGCAACCTCTGCCTACCGGGTTCAAGTGATTCCTATGCCTCAGCTTCCCACGTAGCTGGGATTATAGGCACACACCATCTTGCCTGGCTAATTTTTGTATTTTTAGAAGAGAGGGGGTTTTGTCATGTTGCACAGGCTGGTTTTGAAATCCTGGCCCCAGGTGATCTGCCTGCCTTGGCCAAAGTGCTGGGATTACAAGTGTGAGCCACTGTACCTGATCATTTTCTTTTTCTTTCTTTTTCTTTTTTTAGACAGGCTTTTGCTCTGTTGCCCAGTTGGAGTGCAGTGGTACAATCATAGTTCACTGTAGCCTCAATCTCCCAGGTTCAAGCAATCCTTACACCTCAGCTTCCAAAGTAGCTGAGACTACAGGCACATGCCATCATGCCTGGCTAATTCTAAAACATGTCTAGTAGAGATTAGGTCTCACTGTGCTGCCCAGGATGGTCTCAAGCTCCTGAGCTCAAGCAATCCTCCCGCCTCAGCCTCCCAAAATGATGGGATTACATGAGTGAGGCACTGCACCCAGCCCAAAGTAAACTTTTAAAACAAGCTTACAACAATCTATAGACTTGAATATTTGAGATGGGACAAACCAATGACACAATGACGGAATGGAATTAAATGAGATTCTAAGATAAATCTGGTTCATGTAAGCTGTAAGGATGAAGCTACTATATATTTGATCATTTAAAGCTGATTAAAAAGAATTACCTGTTTATATTCGTTAATACAACTTTGGCAGCAAAATCTCTTCTGCTGACCTCCAATCACCAGGATGTTGTTTCCAGTACTCTTACTAGGCATGTACTCTCCACAGTGTTCACAGCAGTTCATTATTAGACCATTAGCCAATCTGTACTTATTAAAGCAATGGTTACTGCAGAGTTTATGTGTTACATTATTTACGCTGACTTCATGGCGAATCTAAAAGAAAAACCAGAATTCGTTAACTAAGATATATGAACCAGATTAGCATAGCAAGCAATGAGATAACTAGTTTAGCACAGCAAGCAATGAGATAACTAGTTTCTGTAACAGAAGCAAAGAATCCCTAATCATATCTCAGAGGAAGATATACCCAGGGAAAAGATTTTTTCTTTTTTTCTGAGATGGAGTCTCACTCTGTCACTCAGGCTGGAGTGCAGTGGCACAATCTCGGCTCACTACAACCTCTGCCTCCCAGATTCAAGCGATTCTCCTGCCTCACCCTCCCTCCCAAGTAGGTGGAATTACGGGTACCTGCCACCATGCCCGGCTAATTTTTTTATTTTTAGTAGAGATGGGGTTTCATCATGTTGGCCAGGCTGGTATCGAACTCCTGACCTCAAGTGATCTGCCCACCTCGGCCTCCCAACATGCTGGGATTACAGGCATGAGCCACCATGCCTTGCTGGTAAAAGATTTTTTAAAAACATATTTTATTTTTTCCTTTATTTGTAATTTCACTTTGATTTTACAAAAGAGGAAAAGATTAATAGGAAAGCAATACAATCAATAATAACTTCCCGAGAGACATTTAATAACAGATAATGAACTCTACTTTTGAGACAAGTTCTTACTGTTACCCTGGGCTGGAATTCCTGGGCTCAAGCAAGCC